ATCATAATATGTCTGACATGTCCATGTTCTAAATATATAACTAACTGGGACTGTGCCATGCATGAATTGTTAACATATAATGCATTTGATCTTTCTTGATCTTGTCACAGGCAACAATAATCGCCCTGAAGCTAAAATGGCGGACTTGGATGTCTCTTACCAATTTGTGCCTATCATCTATGGTTTGTATGTTGGTATACCAGGGGCTTTTAGTTCGTATTTTTTAGAGGCACCACTGAGAGATCTGTACGAAAAGATTCAAGCTGATACGCGCAACCAAAAGCTAAGTGGATACTATCAATCTTTGTTGGTTGACGTTGAATGGGAACAACATGGTATCAAATCTCACATCATTGATGAAATGAGAAAAATTAACTCTAAACAACCACCTACAAAACAAAATGTGCTGTCCATTAAAATGAGTTTGTATCATTTTGAAGATAATTCCACTTTAGGACGCGTAGTGGGTTCAATTGGATTGGCTGGTCCAGCTGAAGCATTGTTCAACCTTCGTAATAGGGAACTTCTTTCTAATGACATTAAATTTCAGAGGTCTCTGTTCAGAGTGTTTCCTAAATATAATAAAATATTAATAGACCTTGGTAATGGACTTTCACATACTCGTTACGGCGTTCCAGACCCTGATATAAATAAACGACTACAGGTTGTTTACCCTAAAATGAAAAATGTTAGTATCATTGATTGTAGTACACCAGTTGAGGTACCTTGTGATATTATATATAATACAGATCATTGGTACATTCACACAGCAGGTATTGCTGAGATTCAAATTGACAGTATGCAAATCAATGAACTAAATTCCAGACCATTACTAATACGGAGACTCGATCCATGGATGAGCAAATGTATAGATATTGTTCTACAAGAAAGAATCAATGGATTATCTGTAGGAGTGGTAGGCGACAATGTATTCCTATCAGACCCAGGAGATACATTGGAAGTTGTAGTGTTTGTGACACGATTTGGAAAGCCTGTTACTACTGCATTGAATTTGAGACAAAAAAGCAATGCCACTGTATGCAACAATGTGAGTTACCCTTTCAATCAACCAGTACGAGCTATCACGTATAGTAGCCCCCAACATTCAAACAACCGTGGAATAGCTGTATTTAAATTACGGACACTTGACCCAGGTCATCCGCGTCCAATCGATGGTCAAATGTACATGTATGACATTCAAATTATGTCAGAATCTCTACCTTCAATTCAAACAAATTCAACTATCATAGTTAAACTATATAGTCTTTACAATATATCAAAGGATGGTCCAAACTGGTACAATGACATATATCCGATTTTCAAAGTGTATAGAAATACATTTCCAGCAATGGCTAAGATTTTCAATTTAGCATCATATAAGGGTGTAGTAGATAAAAGAGAAATACTGAAAATGATGATTAATTCATCAATAACAGATCCCTCGTATATGCCAGTAACACATGATCTCTCCAAGATGAAACAGGCAGTCATATTGCAGTGGCTTGAACAACCAACACCAATGCTTGGCACCCCTCCTGCGGCAACATTAGAAGATTTACAACAACTATTACAATCGGCACTAGAGCTTGAACTTTCAATAATTCCGCCATATCTCACAGCTTTATTTTCAATTCGCAAGGAACATAATATTCATGTTGCAAATATCCTGAGAAGTGTCGTTCAAGAAGAAATGCTTCATATGATACTTGTAGCTAATATACTCAGAAGCATATGTGGGACTCCAATGTTGAATTCAAGTTTATTTATTGCTCGTTATCCATCCAAACTCCTGGCAAATCGTCGCCCACATGTCACCTTATCTCTAGAAAAATTCTCAATTGGTTTGGTACAGGATGTTTTTCTTAGTATTGAAGAACCAGAAAATACGTTAACAGTAACAAGATCCAGTGAGTATAATGGTTCACAAGATTCAGAAGCATTCATGGAGTTCCACCACCAAACAATTGGACAACTTTATAAACATAAGATATGGACAGCACTCCAAAACCTCGCTGAAACACGGGATAACCTATTTGCATGTGCCGATCGTGATAAACAGATAACTGAAAAATATTGGTATAGTCACAATGTAGATGCACCCTTTGCGGTGATGAACCTTAGTGATGCATTGAGGGCAATAGAGTTAATAACTGAACAAGGAGAAGGAAGTTCTCCAACTCAACCTTATGATTCATTAAACGAGCTCTCGCATTATTACCGATTCCTTGAAATTGTTATGGGATATAAACTTGTACTTGATAAATCAAACCGAAGTATTGGACAGGATAACACGGAGAACAATGTTCAACATTCTACTGGTGACCCCAAACGTCTCTACTTTACATGAGCAGATCAACACAGTGACAGATTTTGCAGTCTGGATTCCAGAGCATGCTACACTATCGAGTTTAAAAACCATAAGAATGACAGCTGCTGTCTTACATATCGTTTCACAGGTGAAAAACTCCCATTTTACGAGAGTGGTGTGTGGCCGATTATTGCTAACCCATCAAATGAAATGTATGAAAACAACCCCAAAGTACAACATCTTTCAGAAAGATTCAATAAAGAATACTCCAATCTTCTAAGATGTCTGCATAGATCCTTCAATGGAACTCCGACTGCCATTAAAGGATGTATGTCAATGATGTCATGGTTACAAGTCATCGGAACACAGTTGGTACAGCTTCCAATTGACCCGGATGGAAACCCAAATATTGGACCAAATGCCACGCCAACATTTGAATTTGTAAAGTCACCAGTTTAGATTGAACAATGATGCAAACATTAATTTACCGGTATGTATAAGAGCGGGACTGCTTGGCAAATCAATGCATATTATCGATACCACGTGACCTGTTACCAATTTCCCTTAAAAAAACGGAAGCGTTCTAATTCTACGTTGTCTCCAGTCAGACTAATGTCAACATATTGTACTGTACAAAATGTATCTACTGATTGAAAACTTCACAATAAATAGCATATGTTATGACTACAACAATACTGTGTCCAGAGTGAATTCCTCAACCAAGCACAAACAAAACCTCGTACAAATTTAATGAGTTTTCAAATATGTTAATGAACTCAAAATTAGGTATTATGATAGGTAAACAAATAATTCCAGAACACAAAATTTCTAATTAAGGTATTACTATTTTAAAACTGGGAAAACATTATCAAAGTAAATCTTTCAAAAATTATTATGTGATGATTCCCTATATTTTTATTTCTGAATTTTGAACATTACTGTAACCCAACGCTTTTATGAATTATATGTCAATTAAATGTAGTTAATTATTAATGCAGTCTATTCTGTAGGCCACTTGATTGAAAAAAAAGATAGATAACAGGAACTTTTCCTGTGATGAAATTTGAATTTGGCTTAGATTAAATTGTGTTAATTATCTAACAAATGCTGCTTGCCTGTTCATTGAAAGTCTTTCCAATGTCAAAAATGGCCAATGGGAAGAAATTGTAACTAAATGAAATTAAAACTTTTCTATAATGATATGTAACACAATTTGACCCTTTTGAGTCCGAAAATCTCGATGTAACGATATGTTTATCGACTATTATGTGACAATGATAATGATAATTCAGAATTTTTTTTTTAATTATATCAGAAATGGTGCACAAACTTGACTGCACTGCACATTGTGGCAATTTTACCTTAGTTAATTCAATTAACAATTGTCTAGATCATGCAACAATTTTAATATCTTTTGTTGTTTGTCTCAATTTCATATCTCATATCTCAGTGGTCTATGGCTTGAGTTATGTACAGTCTGAGTATTTGAAAATTTAATTTTTCATGATGTATAACTTGAAACGTTGTCACACGCAACGTAATATTACCGTAATTGGTATAGTACAGGTGTGATGGTTCAAATACCAAAATGGCAACAGTAACAGTAACAGAAAGACTTCCCTGGCGGAGATGATAAAATACGAACACGGAGCCAACAGATGAGGTTTCAACTGGTACTGGTATTATTATACTCTGCAAACATCAAGTACAATAACGCGGTAAAACTCCACTACAAGATTGCAGATATCGGCCATACTCATTTCCTAGACTCAAAGCACACGCATTTTTCACACTACCTCTATTATTACAATTTTCAAGTGGCTAAAATGTTGTCCACAAAGATCAGATTACCAGTAATTTTGCAGATTGTACAGGATTAGTAGGCATAAATTGACTCGAGAATTTCTGCAAAGAATCTGTCATAAACTTTATGGCATTTATTGAAGTACAATACAATGCATAAGAATTAAAATTGTGCTAACCCAGGCCCTGTAAATTACCCAAAGTTCTCAGATTTGTACAATAGACATTGATCTGAAACTTCACTGGGACACCATTTTGAACTTAATTCCTCAGCAGTCCACTGGAACTTATTTTTGTACAAGTACGATTTATAGAAAGGCGATAAATGCTCTGAAGGAATATCATCGCTACACAAGTGCTCATCACCTGGCATTTCATTCAAAGGCAACCAGGTGCCGGGGAATGGGGGGGGGGGGCGTTCGGTCCACGGTATGGTTATAAACTAAAGTTCACTTAAAGGGATGCAGTTGTCAAGCCGCGTTGTGTTCGATATGGGACTCTTAGTCACATATAAAACTTGTGTAAAATACATTGTTTATTTACATGATATTTGAACATGTGCTGCGCGACGAGCACCATGCTTTAACCACAATCACTCTACTAGGAGTAACTGAGCTTTAACAAAAATACTGTAAAATATGTATTGAGGCTGCTACTTCTATTAAAACGATACAATGCAACAGAGAATGCAGCTTCTATTGGAGTATCTACACATACAAGGAATAGTGAATTTAGTTTCAGAATGCATAAAGCATAGCCACAGAGTGCTTGTATTTGGGCATTCACCAAATTTCTACCAACCATGATTGATCAAACCACATAGGATTGTGGGTAATCACAGGCACTGAGTGGGATAAGCTGGGTGAAAGTAAAAATCAAACTTACAATGTTGCTGTAAACAATAGTTTATTTAAAACGCATTGCATCACACAAACAGATCACACATTCCTATCCTTAGACAAGGTACAGAGAAGACATACAACAAACAATTGAAATAAGGCAAGCGGCAATTAAAGGCACAGGACCTTTCCACAACAAATCAACTTGCCAAAAAAAAATGGTAACTTACAATTTTCTTGGGCAAGATAATTTGGGGGTATGGTGGTAAAAAAAAATTACTAAATGATTTGTGGCCCAAAAAGATTATAAAATTAAACTTTAGCAAGTAGGGATTCAATTCGAGAATGGATAAATTAACTTTTTTTAGTCTATCAACATTTGTTTCGCCTGGTCTTGCATTCTTCAAAACTAGCACAATCTGGATGGCCACTGTTGAACCAACGTCTGCCAATTAAAATTTCACACAAGTGCATGATAAAAGGTAGCAATACAACTCAATATAATAGTGTCAAGCAGCAAAACACTAAGATGGAAATTTATTGCAGCTATTGTTATTTTTCTTAAAAATTATTTGACAAAAAATTGCATTGATTATGTAAACTATTCAACAAGTTCAGAGAATCGACATGCACGCTCCCATCCTATAAAGAAACTGGATGGATGAATGCTTACTTCCAGCTAATGAGAAGAGTTGTTTCAAGAAACAATTACAGCAGGTACAAACACGATTCGTACAGGTAACTTTCAACACCCCCCCCCCCCAGGAAAGTCCCATCGCTGTTCCAACCCCCATCAACTTTACCAAACGATTGAAGCAACTGCAAATGAGATTCGCACAGATAATTTACAGCCTTCTTTGTGTAATCACAACATTGCAATATCCCTGGTAAAATAAAATTTACTCCCATCTGTCTGAGAATCTATCCATTTCATTGCCTCAGTAAAAATGAGATTGTTACAAAATGTGGCAAATTTTTTTTCATAACATTTGATAACGCCAATAGCAATGTCTCTTGCAATGTCCATAGGGATTTCCTTGGGGAGTTTGCTAATTTCCAGTACAAATTTTGTTGGCAACCACTATAAATTCAGTGCAATGGTCAGGGAAAAACAAAATTGTTACTGAATCAAGATTTCTCTTATAACTGATCTTATGTGTGTGTTACAAAAGAGCTGTGCTAATTTCTACCGCTAAATGCATAGATACAGTATATTCACACTAACTCAGTTTGCCAAAGTCTCCTGGTGCAACGAGATGAGAGTGCATTACGAAAAGATGCAAAAGTTGAAATGGTGAAGTGGTCATTTTATTGACAATACCATGAAGACTGCCGAGACGTGTACAATTCCAAAACCCAAATATGGCAATCAGAGTGGTGCTGAATACTAGAATATATATATATTTATTTTGTTACAATGTATTTAATATGCAAATATGAAAAATTATTAAAGGAAAAAAGTGGAGCCACAGTACGTTATCATGTGGCCATTTCCCAACCATGGTGATTTATCCACACTTTCTTCGAACATGTTTTAGCTATAAATAGATCTCTATACTACAATTGTACACAAGAAAATAAATTCAATCTGTTTAAAACAAAGATCATTGGGTCAAATTCTGCTGTATATCCCGGAATTTATCCTACTTCATTTTTTTCTCCATGTTTGAAGAGATAGTCATCAGGAAGTCCATTGTATTCATGTAGTGTTCACCAAGCTTCACACTGAAACAACAATAAACTTTTTGAAAAAGCAGCAATAAACACAAAGCTGTGGAATCTGGCCATGGCTGATATGACTGGGAAAGTGTCAAATGTGTGCATGTTACTTTGCTCCGATAGAAGTGCACGTAGAGCAAACATTTTGTTGTTTCTGTCAAAATATTGTGAAAATTAAAACATAAAGGAAATTATAGCTACACCCAAAATAGTCCATTATTTATTGCACAACTGTGACCAAGCGACATCATTCTGTTAACATCTACACATTTTCATAAAATCTCCATGCACTGTTTGACCATTCATAATAAAATACTTACAATTTACTCCAGAAAAACAATTTTCTTTGTACATTCCTACATTTTTGCATATTAAATGAGGGGTTCAGGCACATTCCAAGCGCAAGACTTTTCTTGGACTAATAACAAAGCTGGTCAATCGTTTCCCAGCAAAAACTGCACTCAGCACAGCATATTTTTGAACATTTCATTGATTTGATGACTCATAGGGCTGAATGATGTCTATAATGTAGGAAATGATTTGTATGGCCTCCAATGTGAAGCGTTGAAACATTGGGGTTAACATTAGAAATTTTAAATTTGTTTTTGTGCCATGTAGAAGTAACTACAACCATTTTTAAAACACTTCTCATCAGCACAAGAAAAACTTCACACACTTTACTAAATTTTCAATGTCTTGCGTATTCAAGACCAAAATATTCTACTTACTTCTTTAGTCCCCAAATACATCCTGCAAGATCCTTGGTCATATTACCAGCATCCACGGTCTCAACGCAAACACTTTCTAACGTATTACAGAATTTTAATAATTCCTTGTTGTTGTCTAGTTTAGCTCGATGCTCCAGACCTTTGGTCCAGGCAAAGATACTTGCAATTGGATTGGTACTTGTTTGGTTACCCTGGAGACAAGAATAAAATAATACAACTTACACTACTACTCATCAGTACAGTACTTGTGTGCAAACTTTCAACTGAATCAGGCAAGATGAGAATCAGCATCTGCTGCAAAAATCAAATATTTGGATTTCAAATTTCTTTTTTTATATGTCGAAATGTTGATACAAGAGGAAAATATTACATTGAGATATCTTTACTTCCTCAAAATTCACCATCATCAAACGTGTATAGCACATTATTAAAGCGGGGGAGTCAGCACCTGCCTATGCGTCAGATGGCCACAGCGTGTCATTATTTACAAACATGAGCCTTTGTCTTTTTAGCATGTGTTATTGTCGCTTGGGACTCAATTCCTGTGCATGCACAGGTGACGACCCTCTCGCCTTAAGTGTGCAAATACCTTTTATCAAATCCCACAGATTCTGATGTCACAACAATGCTATGATCTTAGTACGTCCTGGTTTTACTTTAGATTTCACGCACTATGCAGGATCTTGCAGTTAATGCAAAATCATCTAGTGATACTATTTTCCCACAATGTACATTAAAGAGACAACATCACAGATCAACAGAAGATGGAATGGCAATTCTATAGTAGACATTTTTAACATTTTGTGTATACAATACTCAACATCAACCATATACCAACCAATATAAGAACCAAACAAACCTTTTGATGTTCTCTGTAATGCCGTGTGACAGTGCCATGAGCAGCTTCAGACTCTACTGTCTTACCATCGGGACAAACCAAGACACTGGACATCAAACCAAGTGAACCATACCCTGCATTCAAAACAAATATGGTTACTGTACACCTGGCATTGAAAAAAGAATTTCAAAATGTGTTTTATCAAAGGAATCTACACTATTATTATTAATAGAATATTTTTTTTCACACTTGGAATGTTCAAACATTTTTGTTTTTGTTTAGAAAAAAAAGATCATACCAAGACTTTCACAAGTTGAAATAATGCAAAGGTTGATTATTCAATTTACATACTGCCTTCGCATATTTTATGGATAATATCGAAACAATGTCTGAATACACTGCTGAAATCACAGACTGCATCAAATGAATGTGGAAGCCATCAACTCCTGGGGAAAGATACTACTGTAACAATTATTAGCCAGATACAATTTAGACGCTTACCTTGAGCAATAATATCAGACTGCACATCTCCATCATAGTTCTTACATGCCCAGACAAAGCCACCAGCAGATTTTAAGACCTGTGCCACCATATCATCAATCAAACGATGCTCGTACCAAGTGCCAGCCGATTCAAAATCCTTGACATAATTCCTAGAAAACAATAATTTTTATTAATAATGTTATGTTATAGAAGATCAGCAAATATTACAGCAACCATTTTATAAATAACACGAGATTATACTGAAACATTAAGTAAGTGGTCTGCTACATGTAAATACATTTTCATCTCCAGGAAATACATGCACCATGGCAATGGTGGCAGTGTGTTACTGATGAAACTTACTACAGTTACAGTCAATTACAATTGACTAAATTTATTCAAAATTTCACCACAAACATGTCAGTCAACAAACAGTTGAGAGAGGGTGCTGTTGCAAATATTCAATAGCATTGGAGAGAACTTGTTGCAGATATCTTGGTGAGAGAAAACGTTCCTTCCAGATATCGCACAACATTATGGAACTGAGTGAAGCTTACCAGCTCAAACTGAAATAGGTAGAAACTCAGTTTGCTTTAATTTTTGGTTTGGTGCCATTTACTAAATCTGGCCAACTTTTCATGCAAGTTATGCTCAATTCTTGCAGGATCAATAACCAATCATGTTAAACATCGCTTTCCATCATGGCTTACTAACCAATCATGTTAAACATCACTTTCCATCATGGCTTACTAACCAATCATGTTAAACATCACTTTCCATCATGGCTTACTAACCAATCACGTTAAACATCACTTTCCATCATGGCTTACTAACCAATCACGTTAAACATCACTTTCCATCATGGCTTACTAACCAATCATGTTAAACATCGCTTTCCATCATGGCTTACTAACCAATCATGTTAAACATCGCTTTCCATCATGGCTTACTAACCAATCATGTTAAACATCGCTTTCCATCATGGCTTACTAACCAATCATGTTAAACATCACTTTCCATCATGGCTTACTAACCAATCATGTTAAACATCACTTTCCATCATGGCTTACTAACCAATCATGTTAAACATCGCTTTCCATCATGGCTTACTACTGGTAATTGATAACTACAGTCAAAGGAAAGCTGCCTCAAGATGATTTACAAGGACAGTCAGTAAGATGAAGTTAGAAAGCAAGATCGGTGACTGGAATTAAAGACAAGGAGTCTACCAATCTCTCAGATTGTTTTTCTGCCATCTGATTACTTTCGTTCAAATTTTCCTTTACTTTATTGTTCGTGTTCATTCATTTGTATCTTGGAAGTTAACTACATTTTTTTTCCATTTCCTGTTGTAGGATCTGGTTTTGTTTCTCTTGGAAATGTACAATTCTATTTTTTTTATTGTTTTTTGTATTGTTTTCACATACTGCTTAAAAACCATTAGATTAATTATTTAGGATTGTATGTTCTGTACTTACTTCTCGTAGATCTCTTGAAATATGTCTTTGAACCGTCCATCATAGGCTTTCAAAATAGTGTTTTTTGTGCTCATGTAGAGAGGCCACTTCTTTGAAATAGCGTACTGAAAACAGCTGTGGGCAAAACCCTTGATGGACTGAAACATAAACAAGACAATTAATTTATAATTCTTAGTCATGTGACAATTATTGTACCACTCCTAGTCCTGACAGTGTGTTTAATCAATCTTCGCTGTCACTAGGTTTTAGTATTAACTGTGGTGGCAAATACTAAACATTTTTCTTTTTAGAGATACTGACTTGTTAAGGGAAGAGTAGGAAATCAAACGGGCGGTTCACCGCGGCTCTCCGCGGTACACCGGGGAGAGCCGCGGACTGCTTATAATTAGGGGTCTCTACCGCGGTGGCCACCGATACCGGTTGCAACCGCGGTCGTAGGAAAAGTGTGAAATACGTACTTAACAGTTTCCTTTGTGATTCCATGAGTCTTTGTTTCAAATAGCTGTTTTTAAATCGAGCAGGTTACGAGCATCGCTGGCATGGAAATACTAAGCATATAGTAATATTATCGGCCCACGTATTTTATTAATATAAAAATCCATAAGTCCAATGCTGTATACGAATTGTTGTTGCGTGAAACAATGTTGTATTTTATGCATGTATTTATCACCAATTCCAAGAGTAAAAGTCGTAACTTTCGAAGGTACGAGTATTATGACTCGTCCATACATTTCACTTACGTTTGTTGCACTTGAATAAAGTCTACCACATGAAAAGAATGTTATTTACGAAGTTTTAAATAGCCAAGCCTTCCTGATTCGAGCCTCTTGTTGATTTGACAACGGTGGGTATCATTAATGTTTATTCTTTGCCTGTATCGCATTCCAGACAAAAAGTTCAAGATCGGTAAACAAGAAATGGACGAACTGTGTTTCACGTGCGGCATGATTATTAAAAAAAACACAGAGTTAAGAGGTCATGTACGTTCTATAAATCTAACCTTGCACACATAATCTTGTATTGACGTGTTTTTTTTTTTGGTCAAAAACGACGTTGCCTTTCAGTTAACTCTTCGCCAGAGTTTACCGATTTTTTGAACAAATGTTAAGTAACTATATCGTTTTGCGTCAAACTGGGAGGCCCGAATTTAAATGTCAGTGCGTGAACTCATTGAGGTCATTGCCCATTGCCGCACGTAATTCAAACACGTGGTTGTTAGAATTCAGTCGAAATGTACGTGAATAATGCGATCGAAGTGCGCTGCGAGTTTATTATAAAAAAATTTAACATTACGCATGATATTGTATGTTATTGTATGGTTAATATTACATATTCACTTTATTTCGAATAAAATAATTCACCGATGAGTCACAAGTATTTAAATTATTTTCTCGACTTTTGTTAGACACCTGACTCCGGGACCTGACTATCTTTTTCAATGATTTA